AACAGCTCAAGTGTCCATAAATGGATGAATGGATAAACAAATTGTGGTATATACATACAATGGAATATTATTTAGTCATAAAAAGGAATGAAGTGTTGATTCGAGGATGAACTTTGAAAACATTATGCTAAGTAAAAGAAGCCAGGCACAAAAGGCCACATATTGTATGGTTCCATCTATATCCAGAATAGGTAAACTATCCAGAATAGGTCTATCCACAGAGACAGACTGCAGATTGGTGATTACCAGGGCTTGGGGGACCAGGGGAGTAAGGAGCAATGGCTTAATGGGTATGGAGTTTCTTTAGTTTGATGAAAATGTTTTGGACTTAGAAAGAGGTGGTGGTTGTAACATATTGTGAATGTACTAGATGCCACCAAAGTGTTTATTTAAAAATGGTAAAATTTATGTTATGTAAATTTTACCTTAATATTTTTAAAGAAACTGTAATATATATATTTAGACTTACATGTTCCTTGCAACATAAATGATCAGGATCTGTAATTTTCTGTTTAGGAAAAACACAACTTCTAGCTAAAATCCTCTAGATTTTTATTTTGTGATTATTATTAATTTCACAATCCTATGCCTCTTCTATTTTAGGACTCCTTATAAAATCTTCGCATTAAGTCCTGCAGTCACTTTATGAACAGTTATTTTGAATTAATATAAATCGTAGTGGTTTTTCAGCTCATCACTCCTAGAATCTCTTTCTTGGGTTCGCTTTTCATTATCTAGGTCCAAACTTTGAGTATTTGTTTCAGAAAGGATTATTTAAAAAAAAAAGTAAATTATATATATATGTATATTTACTTATATATATGTATATTTACTTATATATATATAAATTATATATATGTATGTATATTTACTTTCTGTAGTTGACTTTTCGATTCATTGGTCATGTTATTTTATTGTGGTGAGCAAATGGTTTGCCAATCCATTCATTTGCTTTCGCTATTTCTTCAGGCATTTCGTGAGTAGATCATTTGTTCATTCATTCATTCAGCAACTACTTTTTGAGCACTCGTTGCATGCCAGACACAGTTGAAGAAACGGAATACAGCAGTGAACAAACCAGATGAAAATCTCCTCCTTCCTGGAGCTGATATTCTAGTGGGGTGAGACAGGTAGTAATTAATGAACATAATAAACTGACAACATATATAGGAAGTTAGAAGGTGATCAGTGGCAAAAGGAAACTATAGAGTATGGCCGATGGTTTATGATTTTAAATCGAGCAGTGAGGGTAGATTTCATTGAGAAGGGGATGTTTGAGTCAAGACGTGAGGGGGTGAAGGAATGAGCTGTGTGACTACTTGAGAGAAGCGTGTTCTAGAGAGAAGGAACAGCCAGTGCAAAGGCTCTGAGGCAGAAGCATGCCTAGTATGGCCAGAGTGGCATGAACAAGAATAGCAGGAGATGATGTCAGGGAGGTAAAAGGGACAGAGGTGAGAGTGGGGGATCTAGACCAGGTAGCCATTGCAAGGGCCCCGTTCTTCTGCTAAGTGAGAAGGGGACCAGTGGAGGGTGGTGAGCTGGGGAGTGACATGATCTTACATTTTCTCAGGATAATAATGGCCCCTGAGTAAGAACAGACCATAGCAATGGTGGAGGCAGGAGATTACTGCAATCATCCTGGGTAAAGAGGATGATGGCTTGGACCATAGTGGTCACATCTTGTATTTATTCTGCAGGTGGAGCCAATAGGATTTCTTGACAAATTTGGTGTAGGATGTCAGAGAAAAAGAGGAGTCGAGGATAGTGCTGAGGCATTTGGCCTGAGCAACTGGACTTGCTATTAGTTGAGGAGAAGATCATGGATGGATATATTCTCTCTGGGGCATGTTAAGTGTGAGATGTCTATTAGAATCCAAATAGGGGTTTCAAATAACAATGGGCTATATGAACCTGCAGTTCAGGGGAGAGGTGAGGGCTGGAGATATGAGCCAGGGGTCAGCAGCAGGTGCGTTTGCAGAAGAGGGGTAGAATCTGAGCTCTGTGACATGTCATCATTCATCAGTTAGGGAAAAGAATGGGAACTAGCAAAGGACATGGAGAAGAAACGGTCTGTGGTTTAGCAAGATCAAAATCTGTGATGTCCCAGAAGCAGGTGAAGAAATTTGTTCCCAGGAGAAGGGGGTTGGCCAACTATGTCAAATGCTGCTGAGAAGGTCACAGCGGTCAGGTGCGCACTGACATCTATCTGACCGTTGGGTTTAGTAACAGGTTATTTGGTGGATGGTGGGATGAAAATGTGATTTGAGTGGGTTCAAGAGAGAATGGGTAGAAAGGAAGAAACAACTCTTTCCAGAAGTTTCCCTGTAAGGTTTTGCTAATACTTCAGCTTCTAGGGCTCTTACATCTTGGCATCTCTTTCTACATTCTCATGTGGACACTGGTGCCAGAGAATAAATTAGGCACCATTGAGTGCCTGTCTCTTACTTAGGGGGAGTGAGAAATAAGAATCTCGAAGAGGCCTCAGACTCGGTGTGGGAAAATGCTGGATTCGGAGTCACAAGACCTGAGTTTGAATCTCACCCAAGACTTACTAGCTATATGATGCCTCTACTCTCTAAGCTTTGTCTGCTTAGTCTACAAAAATAGTTACTACTTTGCAAAACTCATAGGGATTAAATGGAGAATGTGTGTGGAAAAGCCTGGTCCAGTGCCTGGCACACAGTAGGTGCTCAGTATGAATAAGTACAGGATGGGTTGGTGTTCAGATGTCATGCATTTAAGATTTGATTGCATTCAAAGAAGGTACGTGTTTGCATGTTTAGATATTTTTAAGTGTGCTAATTGCCTCTTTAAATGAATTGTCATAATTGTGTTATTCCAATATTTTGATACAACATATGCTTATTTTTGTAAAAGGCTTCTGGTTGATTGGGCTGGTTCCAGTGTGTTGAGGTTTTGATTTTTAAGAGAAAGGAATGGACTTGTATCGTCATTTCATGTTCACTGGGTACACGCTATGTGCCAACACCTGTTCTGGGTACACTGCTGGGCAGAGAGGAAGGTGGTGGTTGACAGATAACAATAGGTGACATAGGTGACTAAGGAACTTATAGTCTGGAGGGACAGATATGGAAACACCTAGGTGAGGTCTTAACCTAAAGCCTGACACATTCATCCATTTCATGTGTTCATTCATTGTATTCTAAGTACCTACTGTATGCCAGGCACTGGTGACAAGACAGCCTTAACTCTTGCCCTCATGGAGCCTTGGGGTCTGGGGGAAGGGGACACAAGCAGAAGGTAAGTGAAGAATCAGAAATAATTGCAGGAGGTAATGGTACTGTGGGGGAGCGCGTACAAGGGGCCGTGGAGGGAGAATGTGGGGGAGTCTCGCTGCAGCATAGGCAAGGGGCTGGGGGAGGCTTCCTGGGACTCTGCTTTCTGGAGAGATATGATGCCTGTGGCTGAGTCCCATCTAAAGGCCCCCAGCCCCCAGCCCATCTTGTGGTCAGGCTGAAGACAGACATCGCCCCATGGAGTACAGACCTGTGTTGTGAGGAGTTAAGAATATTCACAGTGGGGAAAATGAGTGAGGATACTGAGTGCACGAGCCGCTGTTTACTCGCTCCGTGTCCTTGGGGGAAGTTCTTTAATGTCTCTGAGACTCCAGGCAAGGACAACAATGACAGCAATAACAACTGACAACTGAGTGGGCTGGCTGTGTGCCAGGCAGAGTCCTGAGCAATTTGCATGTATCGATTCATTTATCCTTTATAGCAGCTCTGTGGTATGTACTGTTATTACCCTCTTTTCACATGTGAAGAAACTGAGGCACAGAGAGGTTAAGTAACATGCCAGAGGTCACACGGCTCATATGTGGAAGAGCCAGAATTCAAACTCAGGCTCTCTGGCTCTTAACTGCTTGCACCATGCTGCCTCCTAAACTATAGGGACAGTAACGCCCACATCCAGGGCAGCCACAAAGATTGAATGAGATGCTGAGATACGGGCTTATGCTGTCTGCCCTAGGACCTGGCTCATTCATTCATTCAACTAATTATTTTTGAGCTCTTACTTTGTGCCAGGTTCTGGAAAACAAGACGTACAGGGGCTGTTCTGTCAGAACTCATTAAACATTAAACAAATAATTGTACAAGAAGTTAGTTAACTGCAAGGTCGATGAGTACTTCCAAGGAGAAATGCTTCCAAGGAGGAAAGCAGGGCCATCTAGGAGTGTGTAATGGGATCTGATCTACTCTGGAGGGTATCAGGGGAGACATTTAAACCAAACCTATCGCTGAGGGATGAGTAGGATTGAGCCAGATGAAGGGAGAGCGTGTGGGAGGCAGCGCATTCCAGCAGAGGGGCCGCTCACCATTTCTATTCAGCATTGTATTGAAGCATCCTGGTCAGAGCAGCGAGGAAGAAAAAATGAACAAACAAGGATTAGAAAGGAAGATGTCAAATATGGCTCCTAGCTCGTGCTCCCGGGGGAATGTTTGCACTGTTTACCAAAATGAGAAAGACCAGGAGAGTACCTGCTAGGGCTGGGTGTTGGGAGCATATAAGAGGAAGTCATCCAGCTGCCCTGAAAAGCACCAGGCGGGGAGTCGGGATACGTCAGCTCTCTTCCCAACTCTTATATTACCTTGGATGAGCCCCTTTCCTTCTTGGATCGGAGTAGTTCTCCCACCAGTAAGATGGGTGGATGTGGGAAGATGGACTCGTGGTGGACTGTAGTGGCCAGATCTGGTGGCAAAACAGAGAACGAGTGAACAGGAGCTGGCCCCACTCTCCGGGATGTGTGGGGGGGGGCGTGTTTGGGTGCAGACCCTCTAGTGGGAGGAAGCACCATCTGCGGATGGAGCAGGAGGCTGACCAGGTCTCGGGGCCATTTTGGCCATCTGCCTTGCAGAGAGTTCATCCCTTCTCTCCTTGGCCAAGTGGTCGCCATCACTATCGATGTTGCTATTGGAGCTGCTATGTGTTCTGCAGTGGTAAGACCCTGACCTCTGACAGCAGGCCCTTTGATGTTATAGACCTACAGCAGCCAGAACGAGAGCAACGAAGACTATGAGATCCCCCCGATAACACCTCCCAACCTCCCGGAACCATCCCTCCTGCATCTGGGGGACCACGAAGCCAGCTACCATTCGCTGTGCCACAGCCTCACACCAAACGGACTCCTGCCTGCCTACTCCTACCAGGCCATGGACCTCCCGGCCATCATGGTGTCCAACATGCTGGCTCAGGACAGCCATCTGCTGTCAGGCCAGCTGCCCACGGTGAGTCTTTGTCACCTGCCGTGGTTCCTGCCAGTTAAAGCAGGGAAGCAGGTTGAGAGGGAAGAAGAATGCGAATGCCTCGCGTGCAGGGTCTGGGCTGGGTTGCTTGCATGGGGGTCTGCAGAATACAGGGGGCGGGGAAGGGGGTGGCGTGGGCATAGAGGGAAATTTATGTCGTCACACTGCTTACTTCCAGAGCTCTGTTTATAATAGCTTGGTATTTGTTTTAATATTATTTTTAATAGTATAACCTCACCTTTTTATTTTTATTTTGAACAGCTTGATTGAGAGCTAATTCATTTGCCATACAATTCACTCATTTAAAAATGTACAATTCAACTTTTACAGTGTATTCACAGAGTTGTGTGACCATCATTATAATTCATTTTAGAACATTTTCATCACCCCAAAAAGAAACTCTGTACCCTCTAGCCATCATCCCCGCCTCCCAATCCCTAGCCCTAGGCAACACTAATCTACTTTCTGTCTCTCTACATTTGCATATTCTGGACATTTCCTATAAATAGAATCATATTATTTTAAAAATACTATGTCTTGTTTAAGCTACGAGGGGATAGGGTGATTACTACGTTAAGGGTAGGCAGAAATTTGGCAGGCAGGCAAGTGTAGGAAAGGGCCGTCCAGGCTGGGGGAACAGCATATACAAAAGCAGGAGGCAGGAGGCCCATGTCAGGCTTGGGAACAGCATGTGGTTTATTCTTTGTATTGGGCCGGAGAGAAAGGACCTGGAGCCAAGGAGGGAGAGAGGAGGTGAAAGAGCTAGCAGGGCCTGGATCATAAGGGTCCTGAATCCCATGCTAAAGAGATGTATGATTTTTTAGCATAAATGGCTGATTTGATCAATCAAGACCTGTAGAAAACCGGTAGGGCATTTTTTTTTTTTTTTTTTTTTGGTATCATAGAAAAAGCTCTTTAACAGAATTTTAGTTCATCTCCTGAATAACTGTGATTTATTTTTGCTTTTTTTCTTCACAGTTACTATATAGTAGTCAACGTTCTAACTTCATTCTTAAGTGACAGGAACCAAACTGGAATGAGCTTAAGCAAAAAAAGGCTGAAATGTCCAGCGGTGGACAAAGGTTTTCAGACATGGTTGGATCCAGGAAGTCCAGCAGTGTTGTTAGGGTCCTGTCCCACTCCACTGCCACACAGCAGGCATGACGGCTGCTGGCAGCTAACGTCTCCCCTGACATATCTGGCAGATGGCAGTTTGGGTCTTCCAGGAAGGACCATGGTGGAGCATGGCTGGACCAGCCACTATGTCTAGGAGGAATCAGTCCTCAATTTTGTCAGCTTGGGTCACAGAGACACCTGTGGCAGGGGAGGAAGTGCCACTTAGTGGATTTCCTGTGAGGATCGCCTGGTGTTGGGTAGATCGTGTTGACTTCTGCAGACACTGCTCAGAGGCCGCATCCCAATTCTAGCAGATACCTGGGACCTTTAGGCATACAATTTATATTATGATAATCTTGACTAGTTTATTTATTGTTTACTCTTATCACCACCAAATTTCCGTGCTTAAAAAAAACTGATATACTCCATGTGTTTTTATCACTTTCTTTTTTTTTTTTTTGTAGCTAGGTGAGAAATAAAAGGAGAGAAGTGGGGTGGGGAGAAAGTCAACTTAAGACCCACATTTTATGCTGCTCCGGGTCTGACTAAAGAGCTCAATGGAAGTTGATGCCTTCTTTCCTAAGGAATGCTTTTCTTTGGGCCCATCAATAATGCAGGTCCTCAGCTTCCTCCTCCTCTCTCTAGGAGACACCACGGCCATATGGTTTTAATTCCACCGTGTTAGAATGCTTGTATTTTAGCTGCTTGCCCGGCTAATTTCCTAACGAAAGCTTCACCACTCCAGACTGTCCCAATCTGGGGTTTTACGCTAGCACAAGCCAAGGCAGGGCCGTGAATGCAAGGGTGAGTATGGCTGCAGTTCTGGGCCACAGTGTCACTGGGCTTCGGTGCTGGTGATCAATGGCGACCATGTGGAGTAGTGGTTGTGTGTGGGCTCTGGCGTCCCACAGACCTGCGTTAGAGCTTGGCTCCACTTCTTGGAATCGTAATAGTACCCACCTCCAGATTGTAGTGAAGTACATCTGGGGTAATGTATGTAAAGTCTTAGCAAATGTCTGGCACAGTATAAACAATTGGAGTATATTTGCTATTGTTATTATTAGTAATAAAAATGAATCCGCCCTGTAGCCAAATGGCAGTGTTTTCCAGTAAGTCTCATTTAGCTGAAGGAACGGGCAGCAGAGGCTCTCAGGTACCTTTTTAGGGCCACCTGGTTATAATAGCTCTGATAATTACAAAGGATGCTATCTGTTTATCAAAGATGACCCCTGATCACTCCGTCTAGGAAATGCTTTTCTTGGACTCGATCCAAATAGGCACTTTGCAGTCATTTTCCAGATTCCTTTAAAACGAGCTCATGTTAAAGATGCTTCACAAATTCAGATAGCTTTAATTCTTCCATTAGACAGAGTTTTCAAGAGTCCGCTGAGTTTTATATTCCCTCGTTATGTAATGAAAAGTAAGCCAAACCATTTTACCCAGAGAAGGGCTACTGGACCCACTGGGAAACCAGATAAGAACGTGGTCATTCATTGGGACTATTCGGCAAAGAGAGACAAAGCGCCTTTAAGGACAACTTTTAAAAATTTGTCTGAGCTACAGGGTGCAGGTGCGTTATATGTGCGTTTTTGGATGTGCACGCTATGTGAGTGTTGTTGGAATTTGTGTCATCACCTGTTAGGTATCAAGCACCATGCAGAGGGCTTTACAAATGATTTCTCACATAAGCTCTCCAAAACCGAGTGTGGCAGGTATTACTGTAATGACAAATAGAGGCTCAGAGCAGATAGGCGACTGTATTAGTTTCCTGGGGTTGCTCTAAAAAATTGCCACAAACTTAGTGGCTTAAAACAACCAGAAATTGACTCCTTCACAGCTCTGGAGGCTAGAAGTTGAAATCAGTATCACTGGGCCCACCCAGCTCAAGGTGTCAGGAGCAGTGAGCTTCTTCCGGAAGCTCTGGGGAGAATCGGTCCTTGCTGCTTCTAGCTTCTAGGGGTTGCCAGCCGTCCTTGGCTTGTGGCTGCATCATTCTAATCTCTGCCTGTCTTCATGTTGCCTTCTCATCGGTCAGTGAAAGCTCCCTCTGCCTTTCTTATAAGGATGCTTATAAGGATATATTTAGGGCATTTGGGGATAATTATTTGGGGATAATTCAGGATAATCTCCCCATCTCAAGAGCCTTAACTTAAATGACACCTGCAAAAACTTCTCCTCCCTCAAATGTTACTCAAATACAGTAGCATTTATGGGCTCCAGGGATATCTTTAGGGGGCCATGTTTCAAACTAGCACAGTGATCAGCTGTACAGCAGCCTTTATTAAGTACCTGCTGGGTACCAGGTGTTGTTCTGAGTCCTGGCTTCACTAGATGCCCTTGAAGAACTCCCAGTGCAGATGGAGAGACAGGTGAAGACTTCGTTTCTGAAAATGTAGTAAATGCTCTGATAAAATCAGTGTTGGCTGCTGCGTGCACCCAGAAGAGGCGCCTTTAGGAAGTGAGGGCCTGGCACATAATAGGTTCTGTAAGTACATTATGAATGAAGGAATGTCACATAGCTATTAAGCATCAAAACCAGAATTCGAGCCCAGCTATGTCCCCTACCATGCACTGCTCGGTTTTATCAGGTGCTCAAGGGCTGGAGCAGCTGTGCTGCAGGGCCACAGGTAGTACAGAGCTGCCCCGATGGCCAGGATACAACGGATGCTGTGTGGACAGACCAAGATGCATAAGGGTATCGTCCCTGGAGAGGTGGGTGAGGCCAAGGCATCTGACAGTCATCTCATTAATGCCAAGCCCGCATGGCTCTGATCCCAGAGGCCACCAATTCCTTCTGGTCCCCTGCCCCGGCCTGTGGGGCCTCCTGATATGTCCTGGAGTTGGCCCTTCTGCTTTAAAGGTATGGCTGCTGTCAGGAATCCTGTGCAGTAGTGGGATTGGGCCCCTTTTATGAAATTAAATATGCTTAAGGCTTCTCCCTCGACTTCGGCGTCTTAACTGATTAAACATTCATTTCCAAGACAAAAAGAGTCAATTTAGTATGAAAGATATATTTTGCTGGTTTAATTTAAAGCACTGCACCTCCATCTGACCCCTATTTTCATAACTCAATAATTTTATCCTGTGTTGATTGTCTCATTTTGAGAGAGATATTGTATGTATAAATCAGCTTCTAAAATACCCAAAGAAACTAGAAGAGTGGAATTTATTAAGCAGCCTCTGGTAAGTCTGAAATAATTTATTTTGGAGTCATCCTTGGGAAATGTTCGAGCTTATGGTCCTGGTTTACCACAGAGCAATTATCCTGGGAGGGGCAAAGCTCGATGCTCTCACACCAGTTCCCAGAGAACCTGCACCTTTGGCAAAACCAGAGAAACTCCTGGGAGAGCCTCGTACAGGTGAGGACAGACAGGGCCTGATGGGAAATAAGTTCTGGCAAAGCTTTCCCCACAGCAACCATGGGTTCTGGTGATTCAGAGAATATGGGGTTTTCCCAGGCCAAGCCCTGTGGGTGACTGGGGCTGTGTGGTCCAGTCTCTGGCCTTAGCACAGGGCTCATACACAGCAGTCATTCAAACATTCTCCTTCAGCTTTGACTCTTGTTTGCTTTCTCTGGGACCTTGGACAAGTCCCTTCTCTCCTAGCCTCAGTTTTCCCATCTACGGAATGGGGATTGGGATTCCAGCTCTGGCGAACGCACAAATAGGAAAATGGAAATAATGGCTTTGTCAGCTATGACACGCTGGATGAGCGTGTGGGTTTGAGGTTAGGTTGACCCTCCACTGCTGCTGTCGCACAGGCCACTGGCCTGGGGGCTCAGATCTTACTACCCTGGTTCAAAATCCTGAGTGCTAGACTGGTAGTTTTAGATCTTTTGTGCTCTAAGTGTCTGTCTCAAAGCATCT